GCCAGTTTCTCTTTGGTTTCATTTTCTATTTTTTGGGGTCACACCCAACTGTGCTCAGGACTTCCTCCTGGCTCTGTGCTCAAGGACCACTCCTGGCAGTGTTCAGGGGACCATATGTGAAATGGAATCTGGGTTGGCTGCGTACAAGGCCTTCCCTGTACTATCTCTCCCCTGTAGCCCTCCCTCACTTCCCTTCAGAAAGGGATTGTCTGGGGCTGGAGAGACCAGCAGGTAGGGAGCTTGCCTTACACGGCCAGCCCGGCTGGATCCCCTGCATACCATATGAGATGCAGCACCACCAGGAGGAATTCCTATTCGCAAAGCCAGGATTTACCCATGAACATTGTTGTGTGTGACCCAAAAATCAAAAAGAAAAGAAAAGAAAGGAAATGTCTGGAAACTGGTCTAATGAGCTTTTAGGATCTTGAGAACAGGAACTAGAGTTGTCCTGGAAGGCAACTTCTGCTGGGTGTACCCCTCTTCAGAAGTTGGAACCCACAAGAGACCTCCAAAATCAAATCATGGGGGTGGCATTATTGGCTCCTGTGAGTTTTCTGGAATGTTCCTGAGAAAGAGGAAGGTGGGCCTTGAGCATTTCCCCATGGTGAGTTCCCAGAAGGGCTGTTTCTAGGCAGGGATTAGCTGAAGGGCTCCCCAGGGAGTAGCAGACATCCGGTGAGCAAAAATGCCAACAGAACAGAGGGATGAGATTTGGACACTTGGGGGAAAGTGGTCTGAGCAGATGATGTGCTACTGTAGTGAGAACCTATTTGATATTTCTATGTGACAACTCTATGGCATCTTAGATGAGAATTAGCTAATATTTTAATCAGAGAACCAAGGTGACTTTAGTGCCTGAATGATGATTCTACCCAGAACTTTCTGACCATCTGAAATGGGAGATATTGCAAGTAAGATGATGTGGCTCAGTGGGAGAGCACCATCTTGCATGTGTGAGACCCTGGGTTTGATCCCCAGCATCAGCAAAACAAAAAAAACAACAAACATGTCACTCATGGTGGGATTTTCTGTTTGCTTATTCCAAAAGCATGCTACACTTTTTATGCTATACTAATAACATTATATTCACAAGAGGAATTTTCTTTTCTGTTAAGAAATAAACCCTACTCAATTGATAGCACCATAAGATATTTATATTTATTGAATTGCCAGTGTGAACTTGACAAACTTTTACCAAATGTCACTTCAATGTAACCTCTTGCTTAATTATCAAGGGTTTTTTTTGGGGGGTGGAGGGGTACACCCAGCAGTGCTCAGATGTTACTTCTGGTTCAGTACTCATGAGCATTTCCCTGTGACAAGTGGGGGAAGTGCTCAGGGGACCATATGTGGTACCCAGGGATTCAAACTGGGTTCATGGGATACAAAGCAAGTGCCTTGACTCCTGTACTAACTTTATGGTTCTGTCAGTTGAAAATAAAAAGCTCAGGGCTGGAGTCATAGTACAGAGAGTAGGGTACTTGCCTTGCATATGCCACCCCAGGTTTGATTCCTGGCACCCCGTATGGTCCCCTGAACCCTGCCAGGAGTGATCTCTGAGTGCAGTGATGTCTGGGTTAACCCCTGAGCATCAGCATATGTGACCCCCAAATTAATAATAAATAAAAATTTAAAAATAAAAACAAAAGCTTATTATGTATTATAAAATTAGTATAGCATTTCGTTCATTAAAAAACTCAATTCCTCCTTCTGAATATAATCATTAGCAAGCTTGCTCTATTTTCTAGCTCCTACCCCATATAATTCTCAATGCATATTATTATAAATATGCACATAAGAGACATTAGGAGTATAAGATATATATCTCCTCTGTGTGCATCATGTATACAGTGCAATTTATTCATAATTAAGTGCTATGTGGGCAGGAATTTGTTTTAGCCATGCAGATTGAGGGAAAAAATACATATTCTTTTTGGGGGTCTGCGGGGATACCCAGTGATGCTCGGAGCTCACTCTTGAGTCAGTCCTCATTCCTGGAGGAGCTTGAGAGACTATCTGGGGTGCCAGGGATCGAACCCAGGTCAGCCACATGTAAGACAACTGCCTTCCCTGCTCTCCTATCTGTCTAGCCCCAGTACATATTCTCTAGTTGTGAGAGGGTGGAGGGATAGAACTCCTTTTTATTTTTGTTTTTGGGTCATACCTGGCGATGCTCAGAGGTTACTCCTGGTTCCGCACTCAGGAATTATTCCTGGTGGTGCTCAAGGAACCATGTGGGATGCCAGAACTTTAACTTGAGTCAGCCATGTAAGGCCATGTAAGGCAAGTGCCCTACCTCCTGTACTATCTCTCTGGACACTGAACTCATTTATTATCAGACCCAACACTCCTTCTGTGGGTACAAACAATGGCAGGCAAAGATGTTATCTTGGCTAGTTCCCTTCTTTTCAGGTAGGATGACTTTATTCAATGAACCTTCAGAGTTGCTGGCAAAAGAACTTTACATCTTTGCCTTGGAAATTAGCAGAAGGACATAACTAGAATAACAATAGTCAATAAAATAAAAATACAAATAAACACATGAAAAATAAAGCAAATAAAACCCCAAAATTTAAATCAATGAAAAATAAAATTTTTTCTTTTGGAGCCATATTTAGTGGTGCTCAGGGTTTACTCCTGACTCAGTGCTCAGGGATTACTTGTGGAGATGCTCAAGGTGCCAAGGATCAAATCCAGGTGAGCTGTGTGCAAGGCAAGAAACTTGCCTGCTATAATATTTTTCAGGCACCTGAAAATGAAATTTTTGGCATATCAAGTTTACCCTTGGATAAAGTAACCATGCCTTTTCCTTGGTTGATAGAAATGTAAATTTATGTAATCTACTCAAAAAATAATTTAACAATATAACATGAATCAAGGCCTTAAAGATCTTAGTAATATGACCCAGGGCTTCTGCTTCTGAAATTCTTTCGTGATTAGTAGGGAATACAGGAAAGAAAAATAAATACTTACTGCAACATTCTTCATAATAGAAAAAAATATCAGGACTTCCTGTTGCCCAAGGAGCTCTTAGCCAGAGATTTTGCATCTAAAGTTCTTTGAAAGGCTATTTCCTTGAATTGGATGAGCTGGGCAAGAACCAGTCTGGGTGGAATGCATCTGTTTTGATTTTATTGCTCTAGCTAAAAGAACACTATTTTATAGTGCTGAACTGATAGGACTTCATAAATTATTTCTGCGGACAGGCTGTCAGGCTATTTTAATACAGCCAGATGAACTTGAATTTAGTTATCCTGTTAGTCTTTGTGGATCAGTGACCCAGGGTTTCTCTGGTGAAGTTGCCTTTTTTTTCCTGGCATACCTATATGCTACAGAATCCATCTGTTTCTGCAGTACTACATTTAAAGTCTATGGTTCCCCAGCTCCTTCGTTTAACCTGATGAGTCTCCTTCCAGCAATCAATTCAGCATTGGTTCTTGGCCAAAACCTTTTTCACCCAATAGGCAACTACTCCAATGTAACTCAGTTCATTTTGTGAACCTTAAATCCTGTGCAGGTGAACATTCAGCAGAACAGAAAAACCAATTTCATGATGTCTTTGGTATTTAATTTATTTTTTGGGGGGAAGGCACACCTGATGGTGCTCAGGAGTTACTCCTGACTCTGCACGCAGGAACTATTCCTGGTAGGGGTCAGTGGACCATGTAGGATGCTGGGAATCGAACCCAGGTTGGTTGCATGCACCCTACCTGCTGTACTATATCAGTGTGGCCCTAGCATTTTATGTTTATATATTTACATGCTTTTATCTATTGTAATTCATGATACCTTTAAGAAAAAATATATTAAAATTTTTCAGTGTGGCCACAAGTCCCTAAATAAAACTTGACTTAAAAAAAAAAAACAGAATCAGAGCAATAATCCAGTGGGTAAGGTGCTTACCTTGCACGCACCTGACTTGGGTTTGGGTTTGATCCCCGGAATTCCACATGGTTCCCAGAACTCTGTCAGAGGTGATTCCTTAGCTGTACTATCTCTCCTCTCCCCGCCTTAACTTTTAAAAGAATTACCTAGGAAGTTGCAAGAGATGGTCGGTGGCTAAATGGACCTACCTTATAAGTCATGACTCCAATCCCTGGTGCTACCAGCATGCCTCCAGGGACCTCGAGGCATCACAATGTGCTTTCTCTGGTGCACAGCCAGGTGAGGGCTCACCCTGCAATTAAAGATGTGGGCACGCTGTGGCCGGAGTCTGACCCCTCATGAACACTGTTCGAGCACCAGCACAGTTTCCTAGGGAGCACGACCATCAGGTGTATGTGGTAGCATTTCCAAATGGACTCTGCCTCCCTCATTCCCTAAGTCTCTCCAGAGATAGCAAATCAATGCTCATTTCTCCGGGGATCTGTTATGTACCACTCACAGGCTTTTTAGCCATCCGGGTGGGCATGTAGGGGGGTTTCAGTTATGGAACGTATTCCTTAGGAAGATCCAGCCGGGGTCCCACCACGAATTCTGGGAGGGTGCAGGTGCTAGTGATCACGACCGTTAGGCAGCCTTAGTGCAGCCTGGCACAGGGCGAGGCGCTCTCGACCAGTTTCTACTTTTAGCTCCAGTGGGGCACATTTCCTTAAATATCGCCCCAAGTCGGGCCCCGCCCGCGTGCTCCCAGCGGGTTGGTCCGAACGCTCGCGGGCTTAAGTGTGAGTCTTGCCCTTTTTCTGAATTGATTGGCGGAAATGCTTCCCTTCTTCCGATTGGCCGTGTGAAGCATTGGGGGTGGGGCACGTGGGCGGGGCTCACGGGGACGCGGTGCTCGATCATTGGACGACGAACGCGGCGTCTCCAAAGCTTCTTGCGGTCGCCTAGGTCGCGCGGGGCGGGCCTCCTCAAACCTGGGGGCAGTTTGCCCTTATCATTGGTAGAATGTGCCGTCACTCACAATACTTCCAGATCATTGGCTCAGAAACTTCAAGAGGCGGAGGGTGATTGGTTGGCGGCGGTTCCGCCCCGCGCCCGTCGCCATTTTGCTGAGGGGAACTGAGCCTCTGAAGGCAGAAGTCTTGGGAGCGCCGTTCGGACCGGTAAGTGGCGGGCTGCGGAGAAGGAGTGGCCGGGCTCGGCCTCCGCCCGGCTGTCGCAGGCGGGCAACGAGGAGAGAGGCGGACGGCCGGCGAGAAGGGCTGCGGCGGGGCGGGACAGGCCCGCGGCCGCGAGCGCGTTCCGAACCCGGGACCCCGTCGCCTGCCCCCGGCTGGCAGTCTCGCCGCGCGTCCAGCGGGCGGCCTTGGGGGTCGTGGCCGGGGGCGACCGGGCGCAGGGGCGGTCCCGGGACCCCCCCGCGAGCGGACGGCGCCGTTGCTGCCTGGCGGGGCCCCGCGCCCGCCCGCCCGCCCGCCTGCCCTTGCTTCTTGGGGACAAAGACGCGGCTCCGGCTTTGTCACCCTCCAGAATGCCGGGCCGTGGGGGCGTCGGCGTCGGGCGGACGTTCCGCGTGGACCTGGTGCGGGGCCGGCCCGAGCTGTCCCCGCGCGCCTCGGTCGGTCGGGGCGGGGTCGCGGGTGTGCGGCGAGCCCCCCCGAGAGCGGTGACGGGCCGCCCCCTCCCGGCCCCTTTGTTTCCGCGGGAATCTTGGTGGGTTCCGCGGAGCTCACTCGGGTGGACGCAGAGCGTGGACGCGGAAAGGGCCAGTTCCCAGCCCCCGCGCCCCCCGGGGAAGCCTGCGAAGGCCTGCAAATAAATACAGCGTTAAATAAACCCGTGCCGACCGGGTCTTTGTTCCAGAAGCCCTAGGGGCCCTTGCTGAGAAATGAGTGTCTGTTCCGTTGAGGAAGTGATGCGGGGACCCGAGGCCTGGTACCGCGGCTAGGGCGCTGGCCTTCCGCAGGGGAGATCTATCCCAGGCACTTGCATTCGGTTCCCACCAACCCGCTAGCAGTAAGCAGCGTCGGAGCGTGGCCAAGAAACCCAGCACAACCCAGTAAAAAGTGATAGGTCCGGCGGCCACACCGCTGGTGGTCACTTTTCTTCACTTCCTGGCATTTCGCTGAACTGTCCACTTAGCATATATGCCTGCATTTGGACGAAAATTTAAAACGTTGGAAAAGTTGGGTGGACAATAGGTGCTAGTCTGCACCGGATTCTTTGGCATGCCCTGGACTCTCAGCCCACTTGATTTCTGTGAGCTTTGTGGTTTCCTGATGCTGTCTCTTCACTGAAATCTATTTCCTTCCTTCCTCCCTCCTTCCTTTCCCTCCCTTTTGCCCTCCTTCCCGCCCTCCCGCTGGTGCCCAGGGCTTACTCCAGACCCTGTGCTCAGGGATCAGTCCTGCAGATCCTGGGGTTGGAAGCAGGATTGACGCATCCAACCGACTTTTCATGCTTTATACACTGTAAAGGAAGAGGCTTCGTAAACTCTCATTTCAGAATGTCCCCCGCGCTTGGACTGGCCCTGGGCACACCCCTTTGGCTGCTGCAGTGAAAAAGTGTTTCTGGGCGCTGTTCCAAATGGCCTTGTTGGGTTTTCCTTTGAAAATAAGACACTGCTCCTCATAAGCCAGACTCAACTTAAAATTGTTCAGATTTCACTTAGGCACCGTCTCTAATCAGAGGCTTGTACCTTATGTATATTGTTTTCTCTACCTTTGCAAACCCATGAGTTAACCTGCCTTTCTTTTCATTCAGGTAACAGAAGTCATTTGCGATGGGGAACGTCTTTGAGAAACTGTTTAAAAGCCTGTTTGGGAAGAAAGAGATGCGAATCCTTATGGTGGGTTTGGATGCAGCTGGGAAAACTACCATCTTGTATAAATTGAAGCTGGGAGAGATTGTTACCACCATCCCTACAATAGGTATGTGAAGGACCTATGGGAGGGCCAGTTATGGCTCAGCATCTTTACACTTTTACAGTTTATATTACTGTTTTCTTTGTAAAAAAAAAATTTTTTTTTTTGGTGGCTACTACTGTCCAGGTTTTCAGTTGGTTGTGGGTGTGCTCTAGATCCTTCTGCTGTTGGGGATTTAATTTGGGGCTCCAGCTTGCAATGGAAACACTTTATCACTCAGCAATCTCCCTTGTCCCAGAGTCATAATATTTTGAGGCCAAATCTGATAACGAATAGTTTCATGATTGCCCCTCCCCCCCACCAGTCCTAGCACATTACTAGAGAGACCTGAGAACATGTTTAGGTTAAGGTAGTTTAACCCTTTTTGGCTAAGACAGGATGGGGATGATGAACTATGAGAACAGTCATGACCTCCATTCGCCTTCATGGGGCCCAGCCTAAGCCTGAGAAGGGAGCTTAGAGTCTGCCCTTGCCCCTGCTCCCCAAGTTAGTCTTCATTCCAGCTGGCCTTGCTTTCTTTGTTGGGGTGGGTCTGCGCCACACCCAGTGGTGCTGGGAGGGGCTTCCTCCCGACTCTGCTCAGGGGTAGCTCCCTGCGGTGCTCAGGGGACCGTGTGATACATTTGAGTGGGGGTCAGCATGCTTTCATCCCTGTGACACCTTTCCAGTTCTCCAGTAGGCCTTTTTAAAATATATATAGCAATTTTGTTTTATAAAATTGTTCACAGTAATTCTTTGCATTTAATATTCAAACACCAGTCCCACAACCATTGCACCTTCCCACCACCATATTTTTTTTTTAATTTATTTATTTATTGAATCACTGTGGGAAAGGTTACAAAGCTTTCAGGTTTAGGTCTCAGTCATGCAAATATCAATCACATTTCCCTTTACCAATACTTATTTTTTACCATGAAGAACCCCAATAAAACCCCACCCCCCACCCCTCCCAGTCCCCGTGAGGCAGATGAATTCTAGTTAACACTCTATCTGCTTTGATTAGATTCATTGTTTCAATAAAAGATTCACCACTATTATTTAGAGTTTACCCCCCTCCCCCCCAAATCAGACATGCTGAAAAAGCATTGTGAAGTTATTTGCTTTCTACAGCTGGGTTCAAGAATTAAATGTTGGTTTTGGATTTCTGCTATTTTACTTATTGACCCTGGAAGTATTTCTACTGAAAGTCAGATAGTTAAGAAATTGGTTTCTGTGCTCTGGAGTCGTGGCCGTGCTGGAGAGCCGCTCGTGGGGGGCAACTGGTGGCCTCGGTAGGGCATGAAGGGTGAATCGAAATGCCCCCCTTCCCACCACCACCATATTTTGAACGCTTCCACCTGAAATCCCAAATTGTGCCCCCATAGCTTGGTGCATCAGTGGAACAGAGTATGAGAGGTCATGCGTTCGAGGAATTCGAAAATTTAAAATACAGCTATACAGCATATTCACTCATGGGTGAGGCCCGTGTTGCTCTCATACAGGAGCTTTATTTCTGAGTCTCTGGATCATGGCCATTTATGAGATTACATGGCACCAGGGGCCTTTTATGGGTGTGACTGCCAAGCTCCTGAAAAACTTGGGAGATGCGGGGAGGAAGCCCATTCCGGCTCTGAGCGAGCTTGGAGACTTCAGTCACGGGTCACGCATACCTGGGTTTTTCTGCAAGTTCCCCCATGGGTGAGGCTCGTCTAAGCCTGTGGAGAGCAGCTGCAAGCATGATGGTAGTTGGGTTCTGGAAGTTTGTTGGGGCGGGGAGGGAAATTCAACCCTCCCCCTCTGAGTTGCCCCAGTAAAGCTCTAGCATCTCTCCATGTCAATATGCTCCTGGTGTTTAAAGATAAAGATTTCTTCTCTGGACTTCAGCTCAAGCCAGCTTGAGTTGGTATTCAGTGGAAGAATCTGATTTATAGCAGTATTAGAGGACAATCTGGCAGTGTGGTTATTTCTGTGAACCAGCTCTGTGTTTTATAGGCTCTTTGAGGGTTTTGCAAAGGCAGTTTTGGCATTTTGTGGCATATGATCCAGGCTCCTGTGGTTTGTGGCATATAATCCAGGCTCCTTCGAGAAGGTGGGATGTGAGCCTGGGTATCGACTTTCTGTGTGCTGCCTTAGGCACAGCAATCAGTTGATCAATCCATCGTGGGTAGTAGCTTCCTAGACCATAACATTGGAAGAAGCAGGAAATCGGATGGAAAAAATGTTCACACCCACAATTTAAAAAATGTTTTAATCCAAAATTGAAATTGCTTGACTACTTGACTTTTGCTAATTATGAAAGTAATTTGTGCTTCTTCATATATTCATGCATCTAAAAAACAAACAATTTTTAGAAACTATTCTAATATTAAGACTTTGGCACTGAACTTAGTAAGATATGCACATGTTGTTTTCCAGTTCGCTTTGCCTGAGACAATATGCTTGGACCTTGGAATATGTCATTTCCTCCCTCTGGAATGCTTTCCTGCCCTCTTCCTTAGTCCCCTTCCCGCTTTATCTTGCAATTGCCAGCTCATTCTTTTGTCTCGATTCAAACATTATTTCTCAGGGACACTTTTCCTGACCCTTAGACTGGTTTTCCCCTGTTATTAGTTTCCATAGCAACCTGAACTTCTTGGTTACTCGCACATTTGTCATTGCTTGCTCACTGCCTCTCTTCTTCCGGCAGTGTAAATAAGATGGGAGTCCTGTCTGTCTTGTTCACCAGAAAAATGCCTGACAAATACTTGGTGAATTGAGTTTCGGTCTTTGTGGTGGATTGTTATATTAATGCCCTGTAATGAACCATGCCCTCAGAGCCACACCCTGGGGACCTCAGCCAAGGGGTCCCTGGCTCAGGTCACCCTCGCACAGACTTGTGAGTGCACATACCTTGAAGCCTGTCCTCTTGAGTCACTGCCCTCTTTTGTGGAAGCACAATGAATGCTCTTCTGGTATTGAGTGACCATTAGAGAAAGGGGCCCATCTCAGCCCAGCCCCTAAGGACTCATTAGCTGAATGTAACTCTACGGGGACGCCCAGGAAACCCATAATTTGTGGGGGTGAGAGGGTTATCCAAAATCAATAAATTCAGGGGCCAAAATAACAACCTATGCAGATCAAAATAAAATTTTAATAACTGGTTATTACTCTGCTGATTATTTTTTTATTTGGTGGGGGGTCTCCTACCGACTTGGTGCTCTGGGGACTCTGTAGTGCCAGTGATTGAACCTGGGCTCTGGCCTGCAAAGCGTTGGTGGAGTCTGTTGAGCGCTCTTCCTCACCACAGTGTGACTTTTTTTTTTTTTTGATACATTTGCAATGGCTTGATCTGTTTTCAATTTAATCACAGTTTTTCTTATTGTATCATGGGCGGTGACTTGCTCTAATAAATGATTGCTGAAGAACCTTGGAACCCTTTTTTCCAAAAAGGCTTTGGAACCCTTTTCTTTGTTTCTTTGGGTCACACCCAGCAGTGTGTGACTTAGTCCTGACTCTGCCCTTACGGATCACTTCTGGCTGATAGGGGACCAGATGAGGTGCTGGGGATCAAACCTGGGTCGGTCATATGCAAGGCAAGCGCCTCCGCGCTGTACTGTTTCTTCAGAGCTAATGTCTTGGACATTTTTATAAAGATATACTTTATTTTCCTGTGTTGAAACCTGGTGTATATTTTGATCCAAGGATCAGACTCACTGGTGGAGCAGTTGACTTAAAAGTGTGAGGCCTTTGGTTTGATTCCCAGTGCCACCAAAGCAAGTTAAAAAGTTAAAAACATGTGTTTGAATATGGGTTCATTGTGCTAAATCACTCCCTCAAAATATGTCACCAAGAATATCCCATTGGAAATTACTCACATCTCAGTTTAGAGTTTGGATATAAAACTGTCTTTTACTTTATCAGGTACAGTCAGCTCTCTCCCCACCGGAGCCTCCCCCTACAAAATGGTGTTTCCCTCTACCTCACCCTGACCGCCACCACTTCCTCCTCCTCCTCCTCCTCTTCTTCCTCCTCTTTCTCCTCCTCCCCTCTCTTTCCCTCTCCCTCTCTCCCTGTCCCCTCCCCTCCCCTCCCCTCCCCTCCCCTCCCTTCCTCTCCTCTCCTCTCCCCTTCCCTTCCCTCCCCTCCCCTCATCTCCCCTCCCCTCCTCTCCCCTCCCCTCCTCTCCCCTCCTCTCCTCTCTTCTCTCCCTAAAAGAAAAGTTATTATTTAAATTTGCTAGTAGATGTGTAGAGAAATGATATGACTCACATTACATTTTTGATAGTTTTGATTAGAAAATGATGTATGGCTAAAGAAGGATGAACAGATACAGAGAGTATTGTGAGACTGTTTCACTCATTGAGGATAGAAATGGTCTCACATTAGAGTGATTAGGTATTTAGGAGGCTTGAGTTGACAGGTTTTGGTCATGAGAGAATTGATCTGGTTTCCAGTTTTGAGGAATAATGTCAGTGAAAGGATAACCTGTAGAGGAAACTGGGTAAAGGGGTGAGGAACCTAAGTTCAGGGGTTATTTTGTTTGGGAATTATACCTGACAACGGTCCGGCTTTACTCCTAGCTCTGCACTCAGAAATTACTCCTGGCCGTGTTCAGGGGACCATAAGTGATACCAGGGAGAGAAACCAGGTTGGCCGAGTGCAAGGCAAACACCTTACTCACTGTACTGTCTCTTTGGCCCTAAGTTCAGGTTTTGATTTACTGCCTTACTGGCACCTTTGTGACACGGAACCAAAGATGTTCGACAATGGTTATGAACCTGGAGCTCCAAAGATAGCTCTAGTTTGGCCTAAAGTAATTTTGATCGTTGTTAACATGAAGATGGTAATGGAAGTCCTAGGACTGAGTGAGAAAGTCTCAGGTGTTTGGGTGGGGGGTACAGGGGGAGAGGGTGGAAAGAGGAGAATGGATGGGGTAGGACAGTAGGGAGCTTGTCAGTTACTCATCAGTCCAGTGTGTCTGAGCTAGGAAAGGCATCCAGAAGGTCCAGCCACTGAAACAGAGGGAAATGAGGAGCTAGGGAAGAGTTAAAGAAGAGAGTGGACAGTGATGTCGAAATTCACACCTCCAGGTGTGGCCCCAAAAAAAACAAAAAAGGGGAAAAGAACATAGTTGTTGGAGGCTGGGTGTAGGTAGATTTATGTGTGGCAGGGAGTAGAAACTAGCCACACTAAGGGCTTCTGTTTGTACTTGGTGTCACCTGCTGCTGCAGGAGGAGATGTAGGGAATGCTGGAGTGTATAGAATAGGTTGAGCTATTGTGATGGACAAGGTATTCTGCTCTCTAAGCTCTACATCTCTGGCTAGCAAGGTGCTTTGCAAGTTAAATATACTGCCCAAAGTTGTTTTGAATTGTTTAGCAGCAGAAGTCTTTATTAAAACCTTTGTTTATCTTCCTAATTTAGGTTTCAATGTGGAGACAGTAGAATATAAAAATATCAGCTTCACAGTCTGGGACGTTGGTGGCCAAGATAAAATCAGACCTTTGTGGCGACACTATTTCCAGAACACTCAAGGTAAGCGTGGTTCAGTCTGAAACTTGGAGATTGGTTCAGAGAACTACTTCTCTTCTGAAGGCAGACGTGTGGTTGGCTTGATGTGTGCCATAGCTGTTCCTTGTCTAACACCTCCTTACCACACGGAAGGGGGAAGTTTGCTTCTGAGAAGTAGTTCCTGCATTCCCAGTAAAGTGACTTGAATGCCTCCTCAATAGGAAGCACCTAGGATGCTTCAGAGAATTCCGTCTAACAGACTGAGTATATGAGCCTCAACTGAAGTGCGTGTGTGTGTGTGTGTGTGTGTGTGTGTGTGTGTGTGTGTGTGTGTGTGTGTTCTGGGCCACACCCTGAGGTGGTGGTGATCAAAGGGATGAGCCCCAGCTGAAGTGCCCAGGGTGCGTGTGTGTTTGTGTGTGTGTGTGTGTGTGTCTGTCTGTCTCTCTCTATGTGTGTTCTGGGCCACTACCCTACCCTGAGGAGGTGATGATCAAGGGTTATTCCCAGTGTAGTTATTCTCCGGTAATTCCCGGAGCTTGAGGAATCATCCATCCAGTGCTGGAAATTGAACGTGGGATTCCCATATGCAGAGACTTTGCTCCAGCCCTGGGAGCCATTTCCTGGCCTCTTGAGGCTAAGCCAGAGGTTCCCCAAACTTACCCTCTTCTAAAAGTAAAACACTCAGCCCTCTCCCCTCCCCTCCCCTCCCCTGAAAGAATGAACAAACATGGGTTCCAAGCACCGCTCTGCTTTGAAACTTCAGGACAGTGAAGTAATCTTTTCTGTCTCATTTTCCCCAGCTATGAAATAGAAATAATATCCACTGCCCTGGATTATTTGACTTAAATGAGATGAACTTTGTAGAGTTCTTCAAGCTTGTGTGCATATGGGCATGTGTGTACTTTCCTTCATCCCCAGGATCTGTAGTCGGTAAGCTGGAGATACCCCAGAGAGCCACTGAGCTGCCTTCTTTCCATGACCTGTTCCCACTCAGGACGAACGTGCAGATTCTCTTCCCCTTTGTTTTCAGTGGGTTGGATGAGTCAACCCACATTGGGGAAAGGCGTCTCTTACTCAGGCTGTTGATTCAGATATTAACTCTCAAGGCCAGAGCCGTAGTGCAGCAGGGAAAGGCCTTGCCTTGCGTGCTGCTGATCCAGTTCAGTCCCTGGCACTGAAGTAGTAGTCCCCCAAGCCCCACCAGGAATGATCCCTGAGTGCAGATCCCTGAGTACAGGAGTAAGCTCTGAGCACCGTACGGTGTAACCCCCAGACAAATCAAAAATAATTAACTCATCTGGAAATCATGACAATCTGTGAGAATATTAACAGTATAAAAATGTAAAATATATAATTATATTTTATTATATATTATATTGGTCACTGTCACTGGTCACTGTCCTCCCGTTGTTCCTTGATTTGCTTGAGTGGGCCCAGTAATGTCTCCAATTTTGAGACTTGTTGTTACTGTGTATAATTATAAAATTAATTAAAAAACCCAATTATTATTAAAAATCAGCTAAATATAAAACAAAAATATTAACTCATAGAAATAACATCAATCTGGAGGTGTGAGAGTCACATCTAGAATTATGTTGTTTGCTGCCTCTAGTAGGATCGCATGTTTGAAGTAGTCCTGAATGTAGTTCCTATTTCTTCTGCCAATTACCCCAAGTTCAGACTTTTAATTTCCTTCTTCATCAGTATGTTGAGTCACTGTCACTGTCCTCCCGTTGTTCATCGATTTGCTCGAGTGGGCACAGTAAAGTCTCCATTGTGAGACTTGTTGTTACTGTGTTTGGCTTTGCTGTGCGGGCGAGATACTCTCGGTAGCTTGCCGGGCTCTCCGAGAGGGGCAGAGGAACTGAACCCAGCTCAGCCAGGCCAGCTGCATGCAAGGCAAACGCCCTACCGCTGTGCTATCGCGTATGACGGGCTTAATGATAGCCTTTGGTTCTTTTTTTTTTTTCTTGTTGGGTCACACCCGGCAATGCACATATAATTCATGCACTCAGGAATTATTCTTGGTGGTACTCAGGGAACCATATGGGATGCTGGGAATTGAACCTGGGTTGGCCGCGTGCAAGGCAAATGCCCTACCCGCTGTGCTATCACTCCAGCCCGCCTTTGGTTCTCTTTAGGACACTTTAGCTATGGAGTTTGAGGATTTGAATTTGAACTTTTAGTGGATTTGAGTGCATGAATGGTCCTTCAGTTTTTGTGTGTGGAGCTTTCTCCTTATTTGTAGTTCAGTTATCTGAAGCTGTAAATTGCAATATATTTATATGCTAGCATTCAGAAAGACTGAAGTAAATGTCACTCTATTTCTTGGTGCCCAGCTCCTCTGCCTGAGACGCCCTGCCCCCTCTTCATTATCCACCCAGAGAACTGACTGTGACTGCTACTGCTCTCTACAGAGTCTTCTCCCTCTCCAAAAACAATTGATGATACTCTATTCATGTGTAAATTTACATGATTTCCTAGAGGTTCTCTACAGAGACAGTTGAGAGTGGGACCTGCTATTTATAAACCTTTATTTGTCTCCAAATCTGCAAAGGGATGGTGTGCCTGCTTCCAAAGGGCTTTGGGGTTTCCCTCATAGACCAGGGATCTCGAAGACTCCATTTCTGAGTAGATTGATTTGCTTTTCTATGCTTTTCTATCCACAGCTACTGGGACATGCAGCTCTTTGGGGTGGAGGTGCAGGGGCGGGAGGAGGGAGGGTGCCAGCCTGCCAGGTGGTGGCAGAGCACCTGGGAAGCCTGGTGGGAAAGGACAGAAGTTCTTGTCCTGCACAGAGTTGTGAGATCTTCATGTCTATAGGGCCTGAGAGGTCCTCTCTGCCCCCCCTCCCCTTTTCTGCCAGTGGTCACTCTGCAGTGTGTCCACACAAGGCTTCAACAGGGTACAATGTCTGTGGCGCCAGGAGTGCCACCCAGGCAGCCACTGCTCCTGCTGCTGGTGGACCCTGGGCTGTGGTGTTTACCCCGTCCTTCATTCTTTGTGAATCCCTCGCTCTATTCTAACTTGATTTGTGTGTGTGCTAGGGTCTGAGCCCGACTTCTGCCTCTGAGCTGCATGTAGGTCCCCAGCATTGCGTGTCACGGCCTGGCAGGTGGGCGCTCAGGCCCCATGTCTTCTCAGCTGAGCATTTTTCCTGGGTGAACTGCCCATGCCCCCCTCGGAGCTTTCTCCAGTTTACTCCCTGGGGTGCAGCCGAGCAGGCTTTTCTCACCTCTATCCTCACAGCGACTGAACTGTTCTCCTTATCCTTGACACAGCCCTGGACTTGGCGGGACCTTTCACGGCTCCTTCACGCCTGCCCTGCCAGGCTTCAGTTGCACTCTTGCTTGATAGGTACCACCCAAGCTCTGTTGGTTCCTGCCAGTGGGGCTGTGGTCCCACGGGCAGGGCTCAGCGCCTCAGGCTTGTCCCTCTGTCTCCTGCCTCCTCCAGTGGGGGATGCTGCAGAGACTCTGGATACTGGAAGCTGGGCTGTGCTTTGAGGTAAAGAACGCAAGGCTCCCTCACTTCAAACACTAGGGGCAAGTTAGGCAGCTCAGATATCCTCGCTTCTGATCAGCTGGAGACACGTGTAGCAATCGCCCCTCTTCTTCAGGTTGTCTAATTGGTGAGAGTGACCCACGGTAAGGAAAGCATTTACTCAAACAGACCTTTTGTGACAGCTAAAGGCTCCTGGAAGGGGTTGGTCTGAGAGGTCGGTGCCCCTTGGCTGCCATGGGTGGGTTTTCTCCTCATGCAGGCAGAAGCGCTGCCCTGGCCCCTCTCAGGGCGTCTCCATTGCCTCTCTCTGGTTCTGCTGATGCAGTGCAGGCCGGGCTACCAGGGAGCCAGGCATGTTGGCCGTGGGCATGGCAAGTCACCTTGTGAGGCAGCGTACTGATGGCTTTTCTTGTTGAGGTTTTTTTTTATTTTTGGCTTTTTGGGTCACGCTTGGTGTTGCACAGGGGTGACTCCTGGCTCTGCACTCAGGAATTACTCCTGGCGGTGCTCAGGGGATCCTATGGGATGCTGGAAATCTTATCCGGGTCAGCCGTGTGCAAGGCAAACCCCCTCACTGCTGTACTGTTACTCCAGCCCCCTGATGGCTTTTCTTGGAAGCATGCAGGGAGAAGGAAGGACTGCTCAGACAGGAGACTTCCTCTGGCCCTCTGGGTCCACGTTCCTAACACACTTGCCGTTTCTTCCCAGGCCTGATCTTTGTGGTGGACAGTAATGACAGAGAGCGCGTCAATGAGGCCCGGGAAGAGCTGACCCGCATGTTAGCCGAGGATGAGCTCCGAGATGCCGTTTTATTGGTGTTTGTGAATAAACAGGTACGTGTGTGGAGGGTCAGCCAGATACCGCCCCACCTGCAGGGGCCCCTCCAAGGACTTCTTTGGGGTTTGAGGAGCAGCAGCTCTGATCAGGTGTCCCTTTTCTGTGCCCTTCTGCAGCATTGGGGAACCGAGGGAGTGAGATTAGAGTGTGGGCAAGAAACACAGACAGCCCTGGATGAGTTTAAAAAAACGCAGTAAAAATTCTAAAAGGCAAAAATAAAAATAAAAAATAAAAAAAAAGCAGACGGATAGGTTGATGACTTTGACCTTCTGCATACTGGGACTGAAATTAACTGTTCAGTTGTCTCACTTAAGAATGTGAATATTTTGGGGCTAGAGAAATTTTATAGCACATAGGACGCTGGCCTGCATATGGCCAACCTGGGTTTGATCCCCGGCACCCATATGGACCCAGAACCTGCCAGGAGTGATCCCTGAGCACCACGAGGTGTGGCCTAAAAACAACCACCAGAACAAAAACTTGATGCTTTTCTCTAAAGGTGTATCTGTGCTTTCCGGTCTACAGAAGTGTAAGAGTTAGAGGTGAAGAAAGGTGGATGTGGGCTGGAGAGAGAGTCCAGAAGTAAGGTGCTTCTTGCTTTGCATACAGCCCATCCCAGGTTGATTCCTGATGCTACATCTGGTCCCCTGAGCACAGAACCAGGAGTAAGCCCTGAGATCCACTTCGTTTTGTCCAGAAACAGAGAAATACAGACTGAGAGATTGAGAGATTTGGGGTTAGTTTGTATCCTGTAGAACAAAGTTCAATAAACCCATTTTGAAGGAGGAAGGGGAAAAAATTAAGCGTATGTTGTGTGTGTGTACATATACATATATATACACACATATATACATACACACGATAAATATATCAATATTTTATAAATAAAAATATATACCTATTTATCATATATAAATGTATACTGTGTATGTTTATGTGGATAGATGTATATATACTATATAGTATATGTGTATGTATAGTATGTATATATACTATAAATATACATAATATACTATATATATGTATGCATACATACATACATACACACATGCACGTGTGCATACACTCACTCTTAGGTCCAAAGAGATAGTGCAAAGGCTGAGTGCATGCTTTGCCTGTGAGAGGCCTTGGTTTGACCTCTGGCGCTAAGGCTGAGTGCGTGCTTTGCATGTGAGAGACCCTGATTTGATCTCCAGCACTGCATGGCATGGTCCCCCCACATACCACCAGGAGTAAACCTCCATCTCACCCTGAGACAGGAGTAGCACCTGAGTATCACTGGGAATGGCCATATGCAGTGCTGGGGATCAAATCTGGATGGGCTGTTTGCAAGTCAAAAAAATGTAAAAAAGTAAAAAAAACACCCCAGAAATGTATAAGAGTGTGTGTGTGTGTGTGTGTGTGTGTGTATGCATAGGAAGAGTCTTTGCCATTTCAAGTGCTCTCTCTCTCTCTCTCTCTCTCTCTCTTACTGGAAGTGGGAGGGTTTGGGCCACATCCCCTGGTGCTCAGGGCTTATTCCTGGCTCGCTGCCCATGGACCACTTCTGGTGGTATTCAGGGGACCACTTGGGATGCTTGGTATTGAACCAGGGATCGAGCCTGGTATTGAATCAGCTGAAGTGGCTCCATCAAAGCAAGTGCCTTAATCTCCTATACTATTTCTTTACCATTTTCCACCTCTTTTTGTTTGTTGTTTGTTTTTTAATCATGTATTTTTGCACTACGGGGATTCAAACCCAGGACCTCAAGCATGCAAGGTGTGAACTTTACTGCTGAATCGTGTCCTGCCCCATCTCATTTTTAGAGGTGAGGTAGGATCACACCTGATAATGCTCAGAACTTGCTCCTGGCTTTACTCAGAGATTAATCCTGATGGTGCTCAGGAGACCAGCAGGGGTGCTGGGATTGAATCCAGGTCAGCTGTGTGCAAGACCTTAACCCTTAGACTCTTTCCACCCCCTGTACCTCCTCTTTTATAGCTTAAAAGGCCCTCCCGTTGATCATCGATTTGCTCGAGTGGGCCCAGTAACGTCTCCATTGGAGACTTTGTTGTTACTGTGTTTGGCATATCGAATACACCTCGGGGAGCTTTCCAGGCTCTGCCGTGTGGGCGAGATACTCTCAGTAGCTTGCCGGGCTCTCCGAGAGGGGCGGAGGAATCGAACTCGGGTCGGCCATGTTGGCTGCGTGCAAGGCAAACGCCCTACCGCTGTGCTATCGCTCCAGCCTATAGCTTATAGCTTATGCTCCAGCTTATAGCTTATGTTTTATATTTTTTTACTTACTCAAGTATAAACTGAGCCTCTACTAATTTCCAGGCATTGTCTCAGTATTAATGATGTATGAGTGAACAAAGGCAGATTCTCTTTATGCATGGAATTTTCATTCTAGAGGGAGGAGACCCAGCTGGTGTGGCCGAGGGCCGGGTGATATAGCTGCTGTCTGGTGGGAGTGACGTAGAGGAAGTGGGGGGAGCCCAGCTGATAAGGTGACACAGAGCAGAACCAGCAGGCAGCGACATGGGTGGTTCCAGGCTGAGCAGGGCAGCCTGTGCAAGTGGGGAGAGGAGAGGGCAGGAGGGCTTGTGACTCCTGCAGAGCACTAAGGTGCGAAGAAGGACCAGCTCGGAGTGGAGCAGGAGCAGGCAGGCAGTGTGTGGCAACACCGGTTAAGGCAAGGGCACAGGAAAGGGCATGATCTTCCTGGTATCCACATAGCACGGCTAATTGCTTTCACATCCTCTCTTTGAAGGATCTCCCCAATGCTATGAATGCAGCGGAGATAACGGACAAGCTTGGCTTACATTCCCTCCGCCAGAGAAACTGGTACATCCAGGCCACTTGTGCCACCAGTGGAGATGGACTCTATGAAGGCCTGGACTGGCTCTCCAACCAGCTCAAGAACCAGAAGTGAGGGGCCCCTCAGCAGCCGTTCCCTGGGCATCTGGCAGTCAACTGCCTCTTCTGTGTGCGTGTGTGCGTGTGAGGCGCCGCGGGGGTGGCGAGTGGGATCAGCTTTCTCACATCGTGCCTTCGACGTGCTGCAGGAAGCCAGTCTGGTGGCGGCGGGAGAAAGCCGGCGTCCCGTCCACCTTCCATTTCCGTCGCTTGCATCACCACTTTTGCATTTGAGGGAGGAGTTCCCGGGGGTGACTGGAGCACTGGGGCCCCCAGGGTTTCCTGGTAGTAAGGCGGGTGGGAGTGCTGTGCTGAGTTCTCGTGCAGCTCTGAACCTGGCCGCTGCTCCGGGGAGTCCTGTTCGTAAGCGTGGAGGAGCAGTCGCTCTTGCTGTTGTGGTCAGAGCCAGCAGCCCCCTGGTCTGTGCTCTCAGGGGGCCCATCCCCAAGAAAGGGGAGGTACATACTTGCCCCAGGTTTGAGGCTCACATGTGAACTTTCCCCTGAAGTTTATTTGCTAGCCCAGACTTCCTGTTTTCATGGGCGTGAGTGGAAAGAACCCAGGGTGGGTCTTTCTCCTGAGAGCACCAAGATTCCCCAACTCTCGAAAGTGATCCAGTCCTTCCCTGTGCTCCCTCCTTCCCCGACTTGCCTCCTGGCTGCCAGATGGGGGACCCCTGGGAAGGCTTTTCCCTGGGCCCAGGTCAGGTGGTGAGGGGCATCCCCTCTCTGTCCAGCACTGTCGCAGGTTCTAGGCTCCTGAGGCCACTGCCCCCACTTCTCTGCTCCCTGATGAGTGGTCAGCACTTGCGGCTGGAAGCTCCTTCCTGGGGCGGCCGTGCCATTGGGTCCTTATCTCAGTCCCACTGGCTCTGGGGCTGGTTTCTGTTACCAGGACCGCAGGCCTGTGTGTTCTGAGAGTTTGTGAGGAACCCAGGTGCATTCTGGAACACGTTCCCAGCCACCCCTGGTGTTGCCCCTCTGGTGCTAAGTTTTGCTATGAAAATGTCCAGTCCAGACCTCCCTCCATGGCAGTGCCCGCCCTGCGGGTGGCAGCAGGGGTCCCGCGGGGAAATGTGCTTTATGTTATCCCCGAAATACAAGTGAGACAGGCTTGGAGAGGAGCAAGGCTGCCCAGACCCCAGGCCCGCTCCTCGGCCCAGACTCACCCCCATTGGCCCATTTTTTTACCCAAGCCTTTTCATGACTTCACCTTTTTTAGAAAACAAAACAAAACAAAAAAACACTTTACTGAAATGACAGAGGAGATGAAAGGTGAGTTTTAGCCAGCGTGAACCTGGTTTCTTGATGATGAAGATGTTGATGCTACTGGGAGGCGGTCTCATGCCGTGCTGTGGGGGTGATGTGTTTTGGGAAACTAGCTTTAGAGTATGGTCGTTGTGGTCCGGGTGTGGTTCCTGTGAAACGTGTTGGTGCCTCCAGCTGGTGGGGATTGTCTGGATTCGAGCCTCGCTTGTGTCTCGTTTGTCTTCTTGATTGGTTGGACAATAAAGACTTGCTCTGCAAAGAGGGAAGGACAGCCCCGTGGCTCCGAGTGTCTGAAGCCTCAGCCAAGTCCCTTCGCGCTGGAGCCTCCAGACGTCACCTGCTCCTCCGGTTCAGCCCTTGCTACCTACTGTATAGCCCCAGTTCTGTGCTGTGACTGGGGAGCTGCCGGGCTGGGGGGGCGGGGGGCGGCGCACTGGTGAGAAATGAATGGCTTTAGGTCAGAACAGCCTTGTCCACAGATCACCCCAGCTCTGCCCTCACTGCTGTGGCCCAGGCCAGCTGTCTCAGAGCCTCACTCGGCTCATCTGGCAAATGGGCACAGCACCTGCCTCGTGGGAGCATGGTGAGGGTGACAGATCTCAGGCCTTCCGGGCCTTGCTCCAAAACTCCCATCAGGCAGTGCTGGCCACACCTGGGCCAGGCCTTGTCTCTCTTCTGCCCTTTTCCTTTGTGACCCTGGAGCGCTCTGTCCTGTGCAAGTGTGGGGAGGGGACGGGACCAGCTTGTGGGGGAGGGTCTGTTTCAGAAAGCATGTCTCTGGGTCCCACCTCCCCGTCCCCCACCCCTCTCGTCAGTCTACTCAGAGGTGCAACCATGCTGCCAAGCTCAGATTGATGACAGCCCAGGGGGAACCCTCGATCCATTAGCCCCTTCCATGGGGCTGACCAGCGTGGGGCTGTGGAGGGACTGGGGAGCCCATGGCTGTGCCGCGAGGGAATGCCTGCCCTCAGCAAGAGGCCTGCATGGTTACCATGAGGGAAGGGGGCCCCGAGCTCTACAGAAGCGGCAGTGAGCAGAGGGGTACACAATCACCGGGTCGGAATGCAGAAACTAGATGGAGACAGAAATGGACGCAGACTCTTCATCCTCCGCCTTTGGACCCCCTCCCTGGAAAGAAAGGTCTCAGGTTTTTTTGGGGTACAGTTCTGTGTGGGTACCAGGAACACCGGGAGTTGGGCTCTGAGCTAAATGTTCTGTGGATTATCTCATCTCATCAGACCTGCCCAGGGCTGAGCCTGCTCGCTCAGGAGTTGCGTAGGGCAGAAAGGAAGGTGTCTTTCTAGGGTACTGGTTGCCAGCTGCCCGCAGGGCATACAGAGGTGAGGTGCCATCACATGTAATCCACAGGTGGGTACCAGGAGAGGCACCATCCACATGTAATCCTCACCTGGTGGTGCTCAAGGGTTACTCCTGACTCTGTACCAGGAATTACTCCTAGTGGAGCTTGGGGGCCCATACAGGATACCAGGAATTGAACCTGGGTCAGCCACGTGCAAGGCCGATGCCCTCCTCACTGTACTGTCGCTCCTGAGTACCTCCGGAGAGGACTTTTGAAATCTTTGAGATATGTATATTATACCCTGTGGGGTAGTGGCTTTATTGAGATATAATTCACATACCGTACACTTGACCCATTTCTAAGTGTGTTCTTTAGAAGTTTAAGTATTAGACTCAGACGAGTGCAGCCACCACCACAATCCATTCTAGAAAGTTCTGTCCTTCCTATTTTCCTCCGTGCCCAGTCTGGGTAGCCGCTCACCCTGATCTCCCTGGTGTTTCTCAGGGATGCCTAAAGTGGGATCATTTTTCAATTAGCAATAATCACTCCTCGAAGAAGCCTTATTTGCCACAGCACACGGCTGCGAGTGGGAGACTTTCCTCCTGTTTTGGTAATCAGTGCCTGCCCTCTTTCACGCTTCGGGGGCTGTGGTGACCCCATAGAGAGTCCTCGTGGACCTCCCGGTGCCCTAGAGTCCTTGAGGCCCACTGCTCCCACGGTTAGTCACTAGCCTACTAGCAACGGACTTGGTTTTCTTTTTTTTTTTTTTTTTTAATAATGTAGGAGTACTGCTATTTTGTTCAGCCATTGATTAAGCTGATTGAGTTGGGCATGAACTTCACGTTCCCCACATTAATTTTTTATTTTATTGTATCACTGTGAGATAGAGTTGCAAAGCTTTCATTTTCATTTGAGATTCAGCCATACAACAATGAAACAAACACCCATCTCTCTCCACCCGTGCACATTTTCCACCACCGCTGTCGGGCTTGGTTGTTCTTGCTACCACTAGGTGGTGCTGCTCTCCCACACCGCTGATCTGCATCAGGATCTCAAGGGGAAGACACGCAGGTGTTCCGAGCTGAGCACTTGAGAGGCGGGAAGAACGGAGGCAGCAGCTGCTTCACTTTAGGCACTTGCTTAGATCATCTCTGATCTTCATAACCCACAAGCTCCCTGTGTGTCTGCAGAAGAGGAAGACGGAGACCCATGAAGCAAGGGTGACCCGGTGCACGTGCACACGCTGCGGAGGACCAGACACTGGACCCAGGGCTGGGCAGAGGGCAGGACAGGAAGCGCAGTGGAAGGGCCGGGTGGGCCCTACCTCCTCACTCGCCAGGGACTGAGAGGGTGGGGAGGTCGCAGGCTCGTCACTCACGCCAGGGTCTGCCCAGGTACCAGAATGTTCTCTGGGTAGTCAGAGTCTGAACTAAATCCAATTGCCCTGCGGTGCATCCCTAATGGCCATAACATTGTTTGCTTCCAGCGGCCAGAGGTTGGGGCCCAGCGAGCAGAGGCCGGGGCCCAGTGGCCAGGAGGCCACCACGTGTCCCAGCAGTGCCCTGTTCGCTCTGGGGAGAGGAAGAAGACCATCACCCCAGCAAGCCCTGGCCGACGACCACACAGAGGCCTGGAAGCTCCATGCCAGGGAGACCAGCACGGCCTAGGCCAGACTGTCCAGATGATTTGAAAACGCTCTTTTTAATCTTAGGAAGGCAGAATCTTCTTGTCCTACTGAGCAGAATAAACTGCTTTGTTCTGCCCCATCTTTGCCCTCAAGGATAGGCTTTGGGATTGCCCCCAGCCCTAGCAATGCTGTAACAGATCACCAAGGTTTTCCCTAGGATGGACTCCCCGCTCTGCCACGTGGATCTGCTCAGGGCGTACTCCTGGCTCTGTGCTCAGATCACTGTTGGCAGGCTCAGGGGAACATAGGGGGAGCTAGAAATCAAACCCAGGTCAAATACATGCACGGCAAGTGCACTACCTGCTGTACTGTTTACCCTCTTTAGAGAAAGTTTATTGGGGAGAACATCTGGCAGTGCTCAGGGTTGACTCCTATCTTTGTGCTCAGGGCTCACTTTTGGTGGTGATGGACAATCAGATGGATTGGGGATTGAACCCAGGTCGGCCGTGTGCAAGTCAAGTGATTTATCCGCTATACCGCTGCTCTGGCCCTAAACTTTTTAAAATGAAAGTTCTTTGGCTTTGGGGCCACTCCTTGGCAGTACTCAGCAAACCGTGTGGTGTGGGGGGAAAAAACTGAGAGCTACCATGTCCAGGGCAAGCTCGGCCCACTCAACTTCTCTCAGGCCCCAGGGTTCTTGCCCCTGGTGGCCTGAGACTGCAGATACCACTGTCACGCTCTGCTTAGCGGCTGCTTCTCCACTAAGGCTTCTGAGCGCAAATGCTCCTTAATTGTGCAGCTGTGTCACTGTGATTGACAAAACCAATGGGGGGGGGGGGCGGTGTAGAGAGTACAGCGGGTAGGACGTCTGCTTGACATGTGGTCGACCTGGATTTGGTCCCCTGAGCCCACCAGGTGATCCCTGAGCACAGTGCCGGGAGTCAGCCCTGAGCGGAGCCAGGTATGGTCCAAAACACCGAAGAATTGAATGTTTCTGAGTCATGTCCATGGTCACCAACCATTCAGCCCCCACAGGTGGGCTGGGCCTGGCTGGATGGCCATCAGGGTCAGGGAGAGAGCATGGGCCCCCTCACTCCCAGCTCTCCTGGGAGCGTTGACAGTGACCTTTGCTCCCCAGGTTTCAGATAAGCCTTCGCTGATTCATGGGAGTGTCACCCCTAAGCGTGTCCGCCTGGGTCTCAGCGTAGGCGGACGTCCGACTGGGGACGGTGGCCACATGCTGCTGTGCCCTGAGTTACTGCCCTCCTGGCCTGTCTTGTCACATCCATTCCCTTGAGGAAGAGGCTTCCAGACAGGACAGGCCTGTGGGTCTCCCCGCCCACGGCCCCATTCGGTGACCTCAGACGTGACTCCGTTCTGTCACCCTGTCACCCCCTCTGGCTTTCCCCAGGCAGCCCGCAGTGGGCGTCACAAGTCTACTGCCCAAGTCTGACATACACAGAACAGTCCCCCTTCCTGTGCCTCAAATAGGCCTTTTCCAGGTTTGCTTTTAGGCCACAGCTGGTGGTGCTCAGGGCCGGCTGCTACCCCTGGCTTGGTGCTCGGCACCGTGACCCCTTGCACAGAAAGCCCACCCTCAGCCCATGGGGCCAGCTCCCCCAGTGATGCACAGGGATTACTCCTGGCTCTGCACTCAGGACTATTACTCCTGGCAGTATTCGGGGGACCATATGGGATGCTGGGAATTGAACCTGGGTCGGCCGTGTGCAAGACAAATGGCCAGTCCTTGCAAGCCTTCTGGCTGAAAGCTGTGAAAGGAGTCAAAGCGATAGTACAGCAGGTCGGGGTTTTGCCTTGCATGCACCCTCACTCGGGTTTTAGATCCGGCAGGAGTGATCCCTGAGCACTGCTGAGTGGACTCCCCCGCCTGCAGGAAAAAAAAAAAAAAGAGATGTGTAACAAATGTTCCTGCAAGTTGGTCCCAGGGCTGCTAGTCCTGGCACTGGGCCTCACCCCCCTTCCCACGTCCCATGTGCTCAGGAACTTTACCTCAGAGAGACTCTTGGAGCTTCAGTTCAGCCTGCAGGACTCCTTCCTGGGCTGTGGGGGGAAGTCAGCCCCCACCTTCCACACCCTCGAGGCCGAGGCCAGTGAGCGACACTTGTCTCTCTCCATTTCGTCTGGCTCTGGTCATCGTTCATCCTGACAGATGATCTATTACGAATTTGGACTTTGTCGGTGCGGGCACCCAGGCCCCCTCTCAGTTCTGCAGATTTGATCCCTTGACTCGGAAGTCACCATTTGAAGGGATAATAAGGAATATTGAATGAGACGGGTGAGCGCCAGCTCTGGTCAGTGCGGCGGGCATGTTCGGTTCGCTAGT